TGCTGCCCGTATCACCGTTCGGCACTTGTCTTACATTCTAATCATCTGTGTACCGTTGTTGGTGACACCTATCGTTCTGCAGCAAATTCAGAGAGGAATACGTCATCTTCGGCTCTTGATCCTCACAACAGACAAACAAAAACTAACAAAGTAATAAAATTTGCGTTTGATTGAAATATCTTATTCATTATCAGTATAGATTGGTTTGGGACAAATTGTCTTTAAATTCATCTCTAACAAATGGGCGAATATTATGATAAAGATATTCTTGTCGTTTATAATCCAAAGGAGGAGGATTTAGTACTAGAATTAAAAAAATTTAATTTCTCTAATAATTTCAGAAGCATTTGTTTTTCTGGTTTTCAATAAATTAAATTCAGTATACAAACCATTAGTAACCAGCTGGGCTTTGACAAACCCAGAATTAGCTGCTTCAAATAGAAAATGCTGATATTTTTGCAAACCATTCAATTTCTTAAAAAAAAAATCCCAGCACAGAATTAAGATCTAAATTTTGAAAGCTTTCTCCATTGTCATAACACTGAGCTTTGTTTAATCTCGCTATGTTCGATTTTTTCACAACCTCAACAATATGATCCACACAATCTACAGTTGTTTTGCGGTACAGTTTCTTAATTAATCCAAAACTACCATCACACTTGAATTTAGTGTGACCAGGTACCATAAAATTCAATTTGATACTTTTATAATAACCGCAAATTACTAAATATAAGTAAATCAAATAGTGGCATTATTATTTTTTATTCTGTTTACCCGCGTTGTCACAAGTAATCTTTAAATGTTTCTCACCTTTATTCAATTTCTTTATTACATCGAATACCATGCTCAGTGTGCCATTAAGATCTTTGCCAATAATTTCGTCTTCATCGAGAACGTAATTAATCTGTTCGCGTACTGCCTCATCTTGAATACCAAATAAATGTACTTTACACGGACTGAGATAATAAATTTTACTTACCTGTTGATCCGAATGTGGAACGTGAACGTTTTGCGCCCAATCGTAACTGTAATAAGCAATCGCGTCAACGCTACAACAATCAGCTTTGCCTCTCGTCGTAAAATGCTCATCTACCAATTTTCTCTGTTGTTTTGCTAATTGCGTATTCTTGTTGTAATAGTTTCTCTCTAGCTTAGTTTTACTAAATGTTTTTTGAAATTTTTAGTAAGTCTCTTGCTTCTTCTTCCTTGTGAGCATTGTATTGTAAGCTGTTCCGAAAATGTTGGCACGTGCCACATAAATCCGTTCTTGGACTCATAATTTAAATATAAGGCGTTAATTGGTGTCATAACTTGCGGCATGCGTCAATTTTAATAATTTCAACGGGCTATCGTCTTCAAGGCCTGCAATAAAATTACGATAGACTGACTTATAACTCGTTTTAGCTGGCAAAAATGTAAGCGATTGAGTAATGCGGTTGACATTTCTACCAGGACTTGGTAATCCATGAATTTCAGCGAAAATACTTTACGGCAGTAGCAACGGTTATATCAATGGTTATTTTGGTTTTCCATCGCGTCATTTGTTTGATATTACCATAAACGCGTGGTATTATGCCATTCGTTACTAGATGGTTTCTGACGTTTTCGAAGTGAATGCGACCAGTTCTTAACATATTGAGATACGTTTTCTGACAAAGTGGCGTATTGCGATCTCAGTAGTAAAACGTTCGCTTATTAGTACGTATTTTCTTTTCAAGACGCGACTGGCAGTTATTTCTCCGCCATTCATTGCTTTCAGTTGCGGCCATCAAAAATAATCTTGTTCGGATTTAGAGAGAGCTTGCTTTACGTAATTCGTCAAACCATTCTCTCGGAGTCATTTTTGAGCAACCACATTTACAACCTATCTCCAAAAACGTATGGCTTTTTCATATTCGGTAAAACTATTAACAATGATTGTTTTTCATATACGAGCAATCCTATATATAAATTTTACTGCTTTTATGCATAGCATAAGTAATCTGTGTTAAATTAAGACGTTTAGATAGATTATTCGTTCATAACATCATATGCTACAAACTGAATGCGTTTATTTTTTGCTTGTTGTAATAAATCGAATACTTCAAATATTTTCATGTAAACTACCATCTATCTAGTAAGGTTAATCATATCCATAGTACCATAAATACTTTGTAAACTGCCTTAATATTTCTTTAAATTTGACGTCTATAATAAAAAAATGACCTTCTTGGCCCTTTCTCAACAACGCAATATACAGTGTGTCACAAAAAAAGGTGGAATTTTTAAACAATTATTGCATCATAACAACTGTATGGAATGCCACATATTATAGCTTATTTAAAACTTCAAAAGTTAAGCTTTTATTCGTATAAAATTTAATAGGAAGTACGTTCATTATTTCTTTTTATTATAAGCTCACACCATCGTTTCATTGACTGAACTAAATTAATTAGAACCTGATTTAAAATATTATTACATTCGTCTACCATAAAGCTCTCTAATTCAATGAGATTTTTTGGCATACGCCTTTCTACATTTTTCTTGACAATACTCCATAAATTTTCTATTGGGTTTAGGTCAGGACTTTTAGATGGCCAGTCCATATATTTTCTGCAAGAAATGCCCTAGCAAGATGGCTTGTATGCTTTGGGTCATTGTCTTGCCGAAAACGCCATTCACTACCCAACATCTCGTTAATCTCAGGAATGCGATTGTCAAGTATTTTAACGTAAAATTGAACATCCATAAACAAAAAAGGCGCGTTTTCCCTTGTGTACAAAATCCCCCCACACAAAAATTTTTGAGCTGAAAGGCAGTCTCATCAGAAAATAAAGTCCATGACCAATCATCATTGAGGTGCTGGTTGGCCCACCTATACGCTTTCTTTTATGCATGTCTTTTAAGCAATGTCGTGCAACTGTTACATGTGGTTGACGCAGTCGTATCTCGGTGAACATACTGGCCTAAATCACGTGACATAACACTTCTTCGGGCGACGTTACTATTACCTGCTTTAATCATTTTATTATTATAAATAGTCGAGAGACCATTTTCGTCCGTGCATGTATTTTCTAGTTTTTATGAGTCGTCATGGCCAGTGTGGCAAGTAGGTCCAAATATACCAGAGTAAACAAAAAAGTAATCAAATCATATGATCGGCATAGTTAGCATAAAGACATCAACATTAAATTTGTAGTCACATCGTCGAAATGAAGTCTTACGCACCAGATAAAGGGATACGTTACGCATTGAATAAAGAAAGAAACATTAGTTTACATAACATTTCGAAAGTCAATACCTTTATAGTGACTTCGTAATCGTATCCGTTCTGTATTTAATTAATCCAGTTTTTGCAGTATCTTTGTGACTTTGTTCTTGTATTAGAAATTCGCGTTCTTTATTAAACGTCATTGTGTTTGTACTGTGTGCAGCGTAATAAAATTATTATAAAAAATCTCAGTTTTCGAAATGCTAAACACATTAAATAATTCCGCTATTTGAACTGTTCTGTTAACAAAGTTGAAAGATCACTATTAATCCAATATCGTAACTGCCTTACTATTATATCCTATAATCGCACCCAAACATGATTATTTGAACAATGGCTTCTTCAGACCGAACAGCTAGCATTTTGGACAATATTCAAAGCAAACTGTACTCTCGATGTGCAACGCGCAAGATGCTGGGAGAATTTATCCGGTTCCATGGAAGCCGAGAGAAGAGTTCGCTATATGTAACAGTTGTTCACAAAAGAAAAAGGGAAAAAGACCTTTGAGATCTAATGAAGACGATGAGACCCGACCCGAAAATGCTCTTAATGAAAACAGCGAGCTGGAAGAAGAAATCAATAATGATGAAGACGACGTTATATACGAATTAGCTGAATTAGAAGAAATATTTGCTAGATATTTTACAGAAGTAAATTTCTCAAAAACATTCGAACTTGAAGATGAATTAATCGATAATTTCAATGCCGATTGCGATACTACGGAAGAAGACAAATTTTGTAATATAATCTATTTTTTCCTCTTACCGATTGAAGCTGGATCTCGCTATTATTGGGAGATTAGAAAATTTTATTGTCATCAAAATAATACTGGACAAGCAACAGTATATCTTGACTGCACTCAAAGAATGAATCGAAAACCTACGCGACCGAAAAATCGACCGACGAAGAGAATAAGTGAAGCAAGACCTCCGATTGAAAGATATTCGTGTAAGGGGAAGATTACGATTACTATTGATATCAACATACGTCGAGCAAAAGTTAAGATCTAACATTTGATTTCTCATAGACGTCCAACGTATCGTGAAACTAATTTACCCAAAAATGCCATAACATGGATATTCAATAATCTCAATCGAAATATCAGAAAAGTTGACATTTACAAAAGGCTTGTGAACAAGGACTTGTTGATTCGACAATACACACCTATCGTCAAGTGTATTATTGGGCTTCAAAATTTTCCGCTCAACAATAT